GTGTACCTCTGGTGCAAATTACTGACCTCTGTCATCATTTTAAGTGGGGGAACTTGCACAATCGGTGGCTGACTAAATACTTTTTTGCCCCACTGTATGAGTAGATATTTCTAAGCATAAATGACAATCAACAATACAAATCTAACAAGGTGCACTTTGAGAAAATGTACTCACCCACAATGGGATGTTTGAGGCAATTCTTTTTTTCTGGATCCGCAAAAATGATATGAGGTACACCTTTGGCTTTAAAAAGCAAAAACACATGTCAAAGTGAAAGAACAGACTACCTTAAGCTTCCAATAAATAGGGGAGCCTTCTACACCCTGCTTTTTAGACCTTATTTAAAGAAAAAAAAAAAAAGACAAACTTCAGACAACCACCTCCTCAGGACCATCGTAAGCCTTTAGTTGCTAGTTCCAGTGCAAAAACTCTATACATTGCACAGCAATAAATACAAAATAAAAACACTTAACACCAAGAAGGAAGAAAAAAAACAAACTTACCAACATTCTGAAACGTATCTGAAAAGAGGTAAACATTAAAATGAAAAACAGAAAAGATGAAAATGTATAATAGATCAGAGTTCACATACACAACAGAATTAATGTCAAGTAAAAACTGAGCATTACCATTTGGGAAAAGGTCTTTCAGTTTCTGTGGGTAAAGAACAGGAAACATGCAGAGATGGTTTATTATTACTTAGGTAAATGTTGGGACTGTCTTATTACACTGTACCACAGTTAACTAATCTTCTCACTCAAATTAATTCTCCTTCTCCTCCTACCACATTGCAGAGATAAATTAACAGGTACATTTAGCCTTTGGCTGGTTAGCACCTTTCTATACTGGTTTGGTGTGTTTACATGCAACTTTGGGTAAAAACAAAAAAACAAAACAACCCCCCCCCTCCCAAAAAACCCCCCAAAAAAACAAAAAACAAAAACAAAAACCAAAAAAAATAAAAACAACACACCGAGACAATAACCAATGCAAGGTTAAGTTATAGATAAAGCTGTTTTTATGTTCATTACTGAAGAAAGAATGTCATGCCCAAAAAAATAAATAGATTAAAAAAAACCAAATGTATATTAAGTCTAATGCCCACCTGGTGATGTACACCTGAAAATATGTGCTTCTTGTAATCAAACAGCCTTCCAAATTTGTAGAGGCAGAGCTGTGGAAAAAAAAGACAAAAGGTGCATTAGTCAACGGTTTTTGCTACACAGCTGAGAGTTTGGCAGATGTTATGGAAATTTAGTGCTTTACACTGTTGCCAGGCAGAAATCCAGTCATTTTAAACAAGTATTCTCTTCTCCAGAGACATAAAGCAACGAGATCACACAGAGCTCAACTTTCCACTAGCGAGAGGGAGGTAGTTGCCTCCAACCTACTTCAACTTCCTTCCCTCTGTAGGCTGCTTTTATTGTTTACACTCATGAACATTTATAACACTTGCTGCTATGTTAGGCAGACATTGGAGACTTTATTTTATTTTCGCTGGAAGAGAGATTTGATTTTGAAGTTACTTTTTGTTTAATTTTGTATTTGTTTGGTCAAGTTTGTAAGACAGAAACACTGGAATGGTCTGTAAACACGGTTATAGTAGAAAAAGAAGCTAGTTTCTCTTTGTTTCCCTCACCACCATTGTGGTTTTTTATTAAAATAAAATGTTTTTTTTTTTTTTGTGGCCATAGGCTCCTGCCTTTCTTTCTGTTATGAGTTTGAGTAAATGAATCGCTGCTGCATTTGTGCGCCCTCTGAGGAGGGTGCGTTTGCT